CCCCGAGGGCTCCTGGGGAAGCTGGCGGGGACCGGAAGGAGACTGGGGCGCGGGTGGGGGTCTCGGAGGGAATTGGGGGCCTTCACGATCCGGGTCTGGACTGAGGTATTCTAGGGGAGACTCCTGGGGCGGCCTGCGGCTCTGGGCGGATTAAAGGGCAGGAATCCGAGGCACGTGGCACAGTGCATGACGCCAGCGCATGCGCAGCAGCCCCGCTCACGCGCGCACGAGAGCACTTCCGGGGCAGAGTGCGTGGGAACAGGGCGGCCGAGCATGGCAGTGACCCGCTCGGGATCATGCGGGCCCGGTCCTGGCGCCCCGGGAGGTGACCGTGTTCGGAGACTGGGTCGTCGGAGAGAAGCTGGTTCCCATGAGGCCAGAAGGGCGGCCTGCCACCCCGGCTGCCGAGGGGGCTGCAGGAACAGGTACCTGACACCGTGGCGTCGGCAGAGCGGGGCGAGCTTGGGGGTTCATGAGCGCGAAGCCCGCATGTCATGGGGAGACTGGAGAGGAGCGTGGGTGTCAGCCGCGACTCCGGCGAGGGCCTCTGGAGAGCCGCTGGGAGCCCGAGAATGAGGACCACGGGGACTGGGCGGCCCTGCCCCTTAGAAAGCGCGACACACCTCTTGCGCAGGAATTTGCAGGCTCTGGTGTTAAGCGCTCACTAAACGTCATCTCAGCCAACTGCAGGGCTGCTCAGCCGTGGTTCACAGGCTCCTTGGAGCCTGAAACAGCAGATCGGAGACATTGAGTACCTTTCTCAGAGCCACACAGCTGCAGAGAGAAGGTGGGATTCAAAGCCACTTTGAACGCCGCACCTGCTCGGGTTTAACCTCAAAGCCCTGGCGTTTTCTCCAGGGCACACAGCCGCAGGGTGTCTACCGCCAAGTCGCTGAGCTGCCCAGGCTGCGCTCAAGCTTGGACTCTTCCTGCCTCGGCCTCACAGAGTGGTGGCTTACAGGGGTGTGCCACCACAGCTGGCTTGAGAATCTGTTCCCTTTGACCAACAGCATTTCTATATTTAATTATAAGGACAATGACAGGTTCTTCTGTGTCTACAATAGGGTTACCTCCAGATAAACCCACTGTAGGGTGAAAATATACTAAGTTGACAGTGCATTTAACGCAGCTGACCTGGGGAACATCACCAGCATCGCAGCTGAGCGACGCCACAGGCTGTGGAGTCCCCAGCTGTCCCCCCTCACTCCCGGCGACCCATTTACTGTGTAATTATACAATAAATGACCATATTATAGTTGCAAAGGACTATGTACATCCCATAGGGACACTGCGTCGTGTTGCATGAATATTACAGCGGTCACAGTGCACACCGGCCAGGGGTGACGGCAGCTTCCTCACGAGAAGGTGCCCAGCTGCCTGGGGGTGCAGGTGACCTTCCTGGACAGGTCACAGAGCTAGGGACTCGGTCACTCTTTTGCCCTGCCTCATGCTGGAGGGACAGGCTGGCTTCTGCCCCGGCCCAGGCTCCCAACCCTGCAGCAGCCTCTCCCGTCTCCAACTCTCCATCCTTCAGGTGGTCCCTGGGCTCAGTGCAGCACTTACTTCCTGGGGTCCTCAGGAGGAGCAAAGGCGCTCATAACCCCCGCAAGGCTGCTAGAGTCTCCTGGCTCTGGGTCACGGCTGCCTCTGCCTGTGCAGCCGTTACAGCTCAGCGGTTGGTGCTTTGGCCCCGAGTACAGTGAGGGCAGGAGAGTCCCCTGGCGAGCTGACAGGTTGTTGAGGGGAGTGGATATTAATGGCATCGCCGCACTAAGGAGCGTGCAGTTATAAACTGAGATAAGTGCTAGGGGAGGAGACCATCAGCCGCTCCACCCTATCTCACTCTGTGCCCAGCTTGCTCTGGGAATCCCAGGGACAGGGCTGGGGGTGGGGCATGGGCTCTGGCTCTCGGTGGCTCTCCCTGGTGGGGGTCTTCACTCTGCACCCGTGGAAAGCCGCAGGCCTGAGATGGGAGGGCAGAAGGGGCTGGCAAGCTCCCCCAGGCCCTGCCTGACCACAGCCTCCCGCTGAGCCACTTCCCATGGCCGTGACTAAATATGCAAGGCGAATCTGCAGGCTTATGGGAAGGAAAGGTTGACTCTGGCCCAAGGTTTCTGTCCACTCTGCTCACTTTACAGCTTGGAAGCAAAGAGAGAAAGAGGCGAGGTCCTTATATACCCTTCCAGGCTCCGACCCATGACCTCACTTCCTCCCACTAGCTCCACCTCTTAAAGGCTCCACCATCACCACTGGCTCCACAGGCTGGTGACTACATGCCATTATGACATCACTTAAACGCTGGGGAGCTCAATGTTGGAGCCCAGCCTGGGCACTGAGTGACTTAGTGAGACCTTGTATCAAGATGAAAAATAACAAAAAGCTCAGTCGGAAGGCACTGGGTCCAATCCCCAGTACTGTGTAAATAGATGAATCAACAAACCACTTAAAAATGAAAAAGCATTTCTAGTTATAGTGGTGCACTCCTCTTATCCCAGCACCTGGGAGGCTGAGGCAGGAGGATCACTAAGTTTAAGGCCAGCCTGGGCTACATAGTGAGTTCAAGGCCAATCTGAACTGCATAAT